ATAATCTTACAATTTAATATATTTACATCATAATTTACATATTTTTCTTTATATCTAATTTAAATAAATATGTATTTTCAATATTATATTATATTATTAATTTATATAAATATTTAATACTAAAATTATATATTTTCTAATATTTATAAACTTTTCTTTATATCAAATTAATTAAATATTAAATAATTTACTTTAAATATTAAATAATTTACTTTAAATAGTAAAATCTGTCTAATCTGTAAAGTTTAAATTTTTAGTATTTTTAAATCTCTCGCTTCAAACTTATAGGGGCCATTTTGTCAGCCATTTTAGCTTATTTGCTTTTTTAACATTTTTTAATAATAGTAATAGCGGCTGTAACCGTTTTTATCACGTCGGTTAAATATAATATTATTTTTTTTATTTGGTTTTAATCAGAATATTTTTCTTAAAACATAGATCATTCGAACAAGGCTCGATTTCGGCTAATGAATAGTAGTTCTATTAGATATGAGTGAAGGTCTTTTAAAAGTTAAGAGAGTACATATTGTTCAAAAATATTATGCATTTTTAGCAGTGAATTCTAACCCTAATCCTTACCCTACTTTGAAATCGTACTGTTGTAATCAGGGTTGTTAATCGGCTCGATGAGGCGACTTTTAAAAACGACCAACTCAATATTTTAGCCAGAAAAATATTGGTAAAGACTCAACATTTCACTAATATGTGTCCACCAAGCTAGCCGTTTTTAAAAATCAGCTCAAATAGAGCCAGCCGTTTAACAACACTAGTTGTAATATTCAGATGAATATTTTTAAGCAAAAAATGTCTTATTCGAACTAGAAGATTAATTAGGATATTATTTAATGTTATAGACTATGTATACGAGGTGATGATTAAAGGAAAAAATATATATATTTGAGATTTTGTGAATATTATTATACTTTTAGTTAATTTTAATTTTATTAATTTTTTACTATAAACTTTTTATAATATTAATTTAGTATATTATTACTTTGATAAAGGAATGTTAATTTTGTTTCAATCTTCATACCCTTCATTATTTTATCTATCATCTATTTATTTCGATTTCAACTATGGTTTTTTTTATCTTCTACAATGGTTGTTGCTCAAATCTTTCAACTCTATACACACTATATTAATAATATTCTTAAAAATTGTTATTTAGTTCATTGATATTTTCTTTAGTATTAACAATATTCACCCTTTTTTAAAGAATTTCAAAAAGAGAATTTATTTAATCGTTTCTTTCGTTCGTTCTTCCTCTATCTTTCCTTCGTTTATCTAAAAAGGAATTCATTAGTGTTCCTATAAGTTGTTAAACGTAGTTTAAAAACAGCTAACTCAATATTTCATCCAGAAAAATTATTACGCACAGAAGATTTTACTCATAAAAGGAACAAGGGTCTAAACATTACTTTTGTGTTAATTTAAATTTCGTTCCATTTTTTTTTAGAATTCGTTCAACTTCCGGCTTAAGTAATTTTTTGGAAGAAATCCTTGGTTTTATTAATTTTACAAAATAAAATTACCTTATACCAATATTATTTGTAAAAAAAAATATATAATTTAAATAGGAAATTAAGTAAAAGCTAATTATTAAAATACTTTAATTACCTTTTTACGGTAATATCCTTTAAGTGCCAGGTTATTTTAAAAAATAAATTAAACTCAAAAAAAAACAATATTTACTTTGGCAGAAAAAAAAATTAATATTTAATAAAAACTAAAAAAATAAATTAATTTCTTGCGAACAAAAATTAGTGTTTGTTAAACAGCTCGACTAGAATAATATTGAGCAAGCCTGAAAATTTTGCAAGAAAGAAAGAAAGAAAGAAAGAATATTGAATATATTATTTTATCACGGTATTTGAATACCCTTGTTTAAGTTTATACAAAGGAGAGATATATGTTTTATTCCTTATGCATTTTTCGAAACCGTTTTGAGATGATTCAAAGCGACTTGCCCAAAGGAGCAGGATGACGTAGCCGATGGTGACAAAGTGCGGTTATCGCCCATCAGGTGGGAATATTTTTGGCTTTTCACTGACTCAGCCCTGAGAAGAGGGGTTATGTATATTATTAAAAGGGGCAAGAGGGTCTATGAAAGTAAAATCCCAGACCAAGGGTTCGCTGGATATAAAGGGGACTATAGTTTTGCAGTCAGGGCGGCGTTTTTTTTATCTATGCAGAATGTGGGTTCAAGAATGCAAGATAAATTTGCCATTTTGCGAGCATATTTAGTTAAACTATTTTATAAAAAATATGACAGACCTTACTGTAAAAAATTTAGCTAAAAGGTCGCTTATAGATACAATGGAACTGGTTAACTCCTTTCCGCCTTACTTAAGAGGACTTTGGTAATCCCGTTTTTTATATTCAGTGTCCGATTAATAAAAAAAAACTAATAATATAATTTAATCAATAATAATCATTTCCAATGACACGATTAAATAACTAATCATACTTACAACAATAATGTGTGTAATATTATACACATATGACTTATATAAATAATAACAATAATATGTGTTCATATATTACACAATATGGGATATGATGAGTGATATTCTGGAGCATGTTTCAACTTCCGATTAAATCTTTATGGCGCGTTATCCTCCTTTTCCATCAAATTGTCAGACCTCGTCTTTCATTAAAGAATCATATCTTTTGTTTACGCGTTCCCCTTTCCTTTCTGAGCTGTTTTGCCTCTTCCAAGTTTTCAGTCTTGGCAATACTTACTTTAATTTCTCTTTGTTTAGCTATAAATTTAATTTTTTTTTTACTAATTTCAGCTTTCATGAAGCATTTGTGCTTCCATTTGCTCTTCTTCACTCCATTCCTAAAATCAGATTTATTGATTTGCATGATTATCTCCCAATTTTAAGCAAGGTTCACAATAAATATAATCAGGCATTATGGCGCTTTTCTTATTTCCATTCTTCGAGATGAGATCTTCAAAGTACCTCTAGACACAACTTGATTAAAGATTAGTAGAGAGAGTTGTTATTTCATAATTGTATGTAGGGTGGGTTTAAAACGTGCAATTCCAGAGCAAATGGGGCACAGATGCTTCATGAAAGCTAAAATTATTAGTAAAAAATATAAAATTTATAGTTAAACAAAGATAAATTATTGCCAAGACTGAGAACTTGGAAGAAGCAAAACAGCTCAAAAAGAAAGGGGAACGCGTAAAAAAAAAAATATGATTCTAATGAATCGGAAAAAGAGGATAACGCGCCAAAAGATAAAAAGGAAGATGAAATCTAGAATATTAATATCATATTCCATAGTATAATATATAACACATATTCTTGTTAGGGTTAAGATAAGTCGTATTTGTATAAAGATATTTAAATCGTGTTATTGAAAAATGATTATATTGATTAAATTATACTAAGAGTTTTTGTTTATAATTAAATATTAAAAAAAGGAATTACCGCTCCAAAGTGAGGAGGCTTAATATTTTAAAAAAATGGTTACTGAAGTCTTCTTTAAGCAAGGCGGCTGAATATAAGAAGGAGTTAACCAGAGTCATTTTTATCTGTAAGCGACCACTGTGCTAAATTTTTTACAGTTAGGACCTGTCGTCCGTGAGTGCTGCTGAAATTATTTTCTTTTTACAATTATTATCATGTGTTTTTTTGATTTATTGTAAAATTGTTTAAATTGTAAGAATATGCTCGCAATTATTTGTTTAAGTAAAAATAAAAAATAGTTTTTAACAGAATAAAACATGAAAATTTTACGATCAAACTTGATTTTGAAAAACGTAATTAACTTATAAATTTTTTGGGAAGCTTTACAATATAATTTGGAGAAAAATTATTACTATATAATCGTGGGCCTGAGTATTATACCATTCAATGTTCACTTTTTGGAAAAAAAATGAATCTTAGTGATTAGGATGGTTAAAAAATTAAGGCATAAGAATTACTATTAGAGCATCTCTGTTTTGAAGTTTTAAAGGAAATGCTATAAATTAGTTTTCAAAAAAAAAAAATTAAGTATGGATAAATTTATAGCGATCTTGCTATAGAGTTTTATCTGTCAAAACTCATATTTATCGGAATGACTTTCTCTTCGACCCGAATAGAACTGGACAAATATTCTCTTTTAGACTGAAGCTACTCTAATTTTTTTCCCAGTGTGTTTTTAATAGTGTTAATAAAAGTTACTGTCAAAGTAACAGTTAGTAGTGTTGTCAAAGTTTGATACAATTTACATCTCTAAATAATAAGTAGTTTAAAAAAAGTTAGAATTACGAGTTAAATTTAAATATTTATATAGAATGAGTTTGAGTATTAATAAAGTAGGTAGTCATAACTAGCTACAAGTAAGCTTCTAGTTACAACTGTCTAGTTACAATTAAGTAATTATGTATCTGTTAATATCTAATTTTAACAACACTATAAAGTTCTAGTTATTTACTCAGTGCAAAATCTTATTTTGCACAAGCTTGCTTATAATATAATTTTCCCACTTAATTTTTCATAACTCCGATCCGAAATTAGAAATGATTTCTTAGGTAGTTGGAAGAACTCTCGGCCTTAGGAAAAGGAAGATCAGCAAGAATGTTGGGTGGATTAGAGGTCAAATCGGCACGACCATTTTGGACTGGGCTGGACAGACGTGTTTTTACCGGTTGGGTTATAAATTTGCAAAAAAAATTTAAAGTTCAAAATTCAAACTTTTTCTGGATCAGAGATTTTCAAGAGCTAAGCTGGCCTGAACCTGCCTCTAGGTTAGTAGGACAAGACAGGGATATGACTTTTTAGATTAATTTCTGAAATTGTAAACTAAGCGACCAAATAATTCCACGATAAACACAAAATTTAAAGGTTATTTATACTATATATTTTAGGACATTCAATTTATAATAATTGTTTTTTTGTTTATATAATCATATTAATGATGATTTGTTACCCAGATAACAAATAATAATTATTATTATAACGGTATGATACGGTAATATAAATAATATCTTTAATGATTCTTACGTGGGAATAATGTAGGTCTTAAAATCATTTTCCAATGATTCGCTGAGAAACCAAAAATTCTTGATCCAAGGGGCATTTATCTATAAAATAAAATAATAAAATCAAAGTATGAAATGCTCTTCAAAATAAAAAAAAACAAGATTTTTTTAAAATGAAGATTATCTTGACAATGCCAAAATAGGATTGGTCAAATTTTACCTAAAAGGGATTCCTCATCGACTCTATTTTAAATCATCTATGAGGTATCAAATGTGTTCATTCATTCTTTCCAATCATACATTTTATAGTTATATTTTATAATTTGCATTGGAACCTCTTCAATAACATCAGGGTTAAATATTTCTTCCTCAAGTTCCTCTTTGGCCATAACATCAGCACAATAATTTCCTTGCTAGGTTCTACCCCACACATTTCTGCTATCTTCTTATAAGTTGCCAAATGAGTGCTTGTACCAGACAACTTATCTGTATATCCCGCTACACCCTCACAAAGATAGTTAGCACCAACATGTTAAAATGCTGGATGCTTCATAATTTCTGTGACTTTATATTTTAAAGCACTGAATTCATCCAGGTTAGGCAACAGAACAATTGTGTTTCTGACCATGCAACTAAAGAAGGTGTTTGCGACAAAGTGTCAAGTGGTTCCAGCTGGATTGCTGTTGATTCTCAGTGTTAGGTCAGCAGTGGGCTTTATTCTCGCATTGCTTGGCATATCTTTTATACACTGTGCAAAGGCAATGCCTTTAAGTCTGTTAATTTTCTAGTTGCCAACTAGTGATCATAATTTCCATCTAGCTTGGCTCTCATTACTTTCCTTAGGTAGCCAGCTGGCACCTTGATGTGTGGTGGTTTTCTTTATAAAAGCTCCCTTTAGCAGCACTGATTAAAATGACACAGCTTTAAGTTGAATATTTTTGAAAAAATGGGGATAAATCATTATTTTGATTGAATGCCCTAAATATTGTCTTTATCAATAGAAATGGGAAATTTTAAAATTTCTTGTTTTTCCCATTGTATATATTTTAAAAAATTTAGCATACAAAATATTGATTTCTTTATGGCATTGTCAAATATAGAAGGTAAATAAAAATTAATCAAATATTGTATCAGTATTGGTTATAGGATTATATTGTATGAATATATTAAAAAAAATAAGATCAAATCAGTTAAAAATTTGTGGATTTGTATCATTTGGACATATGATAGATATCCACATGATTAAAATATGAGGCTTTCTCTGGCTTACTCCCCTGCCAAAACATATTAATAAACCATAAATGAAAAAGAAATATCTTTAATAATTTTCAAGTTAGATGGATTTGCAGTCCTAGCAATATGTAAATTAATAATTCATTAAACAAATATGACACAAAAATATATATTGTTTTATATAAAATAACAATTTTTCAATGAACTAAAAATGTAAATAACTTTGAATTTGATTAGCCAATATAGAAACATGAAAAATAAAATGAAAATAAGCATTGAGGGAAAGATATAAAATAAAATTATATTACCCTTATTACTTGGCCCTTAATGGGAATCATTGATGATTTATCATTTATAATTTGACCAGCATTGAGACCTGCACAATTTATAACAAAGTTGTATTCAGATTTCTCTGTGTTATATGGTAGCTTGTTGATCTAGAACCAAATAAATTTATTTTTACATCCTTTCCTACAAGTTCTATTTTTTAATCTTATTGTAAATATTTAATTATCCTTGTTTAAATATCCATATTTATTTATTACTAACCAAAAATATATTATATGGAAAAAATTAAATTAACAAACTTCATGTAAGCCATTTATTTTAGCTAATATGACATGACCATTATTATTCAGAAATTTTTTTAACAATTTTGGTAAATATTTCCTGCATTCTGTTACTGTAGAAGTAAAAAAACAACCATATCTAAACATATATATTTAATCTTTAATTTAATCAAATTATGATGCACAATACTTTTTGTTTAAATTCAATTTTTTGAGTTCCTCGCTATCTAAAAAATGAAAATCTAATACCAAATCTTTATACCATAAATCCTAAAATATAAAATTATATATAAAAATTGAAAATAAAGTTTTAAATATATTACAGCAACAAATTCTAATTTTTCAGCAATTATGTAACCTGAAACCATTTGTACACCATACTCTCCTGCTTCTTCAGACTGAAATATTCGTAAAAAATGGGCAAATGAATTTCTGTAAATTTCTCTAAATAATTATATAATAAATCTTTGAATATTGCTAAAAATATACTTTTCATACTCCTCTTTTACATTATGTGATGGCCTAAATAAGCCAGCAGAACCATCACTTAGTGTATTTTTATTTAGTTTATCAGCTATAATTGTAATATCAGCATCTTTAAAATGAGATTGTAAAACTGTTGCAGTAGAAAGGCCAATTACACCCGCTCCTATGATTGCAATTCTCATTTTTAAAAATAATTTTTACACATGTTTTAACACTTTTATCAACAAGGAATATATTTATAAAATTTTTAAATTATAACAAAAACATGGGACGTCGTTAACTAAATACTATTTTGAAAAATGTATTAGCACTTTATTATAATATTTAAGTAAATAGTACCTGTAATAATGTGGAAAGTATATATAGTTATTATCGAAATATATGCCAAAATCAATTGCTGTCTATTATTCGACAATCTCGCACTCCAACTTTTCAAAATATTTACTAAATTATTAGTTTTCATTAATTTTAGCAACTCACATTCCACTGAAATGAATCCACTTGTTTTATCAATAAAACGAATCCATAGATCTTAAAAAATCTATATGCATCAGCTTCTACGGAATTGTTGGTATATTCAAGAGTATAACGGAGTTACAATTATTCCTTATCGTGTTGTTTGATATCCACGACACTGATTAACATAGTTTCACACATCATGGTCGCTTAGGGCAGGCACAAGCAATAAAATAGTAATACTAACATCACGGCCTGGGTGACCCCTGTGATGTGTAAAAATTCTTTATTTATATATTTGGAAAAACTAATATTGCATTTTATTTTATATGCCATTATATAGGCTTAGCCAGGATTTTCATAAAGGTGGTGGTGAATTAAAAAATAAGTGGGGACTTTGTCTCCAAACCCTCTTTTGGGCGGGCCTTCGGCCCGCTTTTGTCCGGCCTTCCGCCAAGTTATCTTAGTCTATATATAGTCATAAAATATTTTTACAAAAAAAATAAGCCTGGAACAAATATGAAATTCATTTTTATTAGTTTATATAAAATATAATAAATTACTTGTATATACATTAATATAAAAGCATGGTAATAATTTATTCCAAACAATTATAAAAAATTTATTTATAAAAAGTAAGTACTCATATAGTTGATATTCCTCTATTATATAGAATTAGTTACAAAATACTAGGTAAAATTTAACTTTTACAGACATGTTTGACAGTTAGAGAATATATTACAGTTAATAATTTAACACATTTTACTAATCAATGCTCTTGAAAATAAATATAGCGACAATTTGCACGCAATAATTTAACGCCATCTATTTATTTTAAGGAAAAAATAATATCAAAATATAATATTCATATTATATTTTCCCACAATATCTTTAAAAGATATTTTCTGATGTCCCTATCAACATGTAGATTTCTGTAAAATATATAACTCGCTATATTGGTAAAAATTACTTGATTGTCATATGATAATTGATAAAATTAGATATACTGTAAATCTACGACATATAATATTCCACTGATTGTGCTTTAATATTTTTATTTAATTTATGATTTAATCACTAGTTTTATAACTATATTTTACTATTAAGATAAATAAATTAAAATTACTCACTTTATAAAAAATTATATTTGATATATTATATTATTTAGTAATTTTATAGATCTATTATCTATATTATAATTTTCCGATGTCCTCACTACGTCATCGTGACGTCATGTCATTGCTACGTCATGTCATCGGTACGTATTTATTTTTATTTTTTTTATTTGTTGATTTTATTTATTTATTTTATATAAACAGATGGAAATATTTTTGGGCTAGAAAATTCTGCGGAAAAATGGATGATGATATTCCCTCAACTTTCTGAATATGAATAAGAGTGAATAAAAAATAATTAAAATTTCAATGTCTCTTCATTTCTCAAGATTCAGGCTAACTTTTTATTTCACTTATTCCTTTCTTTATTTTTTAGATTACCTTATCAATTTTTATCTCATATTATCAATTACACATTAATGTAATTTTCTCTACAAGATACTCAACTTATATATTTTTTTTGTCTGTACTGATATCACAATTATACTCATATATTTCTTTCATAACCAATAATTAAGAAGATAACCAAATATATTCAAATATTTAAATATTCTTATCCTACTTATAATCTCCAACCCTTATAAGTAACTCTTTCTTTATTTTTTCCCATCCCTTAGTGAATTCATTTATCACTAAATTTTATTATCTCATTCTTTTCTTCCTATCTCTATTATTTATTAACCACTACTTCTCGATACCTTATCAATTCCTTTAATTTAATTTTTATTATTTTTATAATATAATTATTTATACCTTCTATTTTCCCCCTTTTTTAGTTTTATTTTAATTACCTTGCAATTTATCCTAATCTTAAAAACATTACATTCATCATGTTATTATTTAACCTTAAACTGAATTGTCAGCTTTTTCCCTTCTCTTCTATCAATTTATCAAATCGTCTGCTTTCTTTTTCTATTACATAACAAATATCTCTAAAAATTTTTTCTCAAATTACCAATTATTTCCATTTAGTCTACTTCTAAAACCTATATCACTATTACTTATTTATTTCTTATATACATATATTTAATAACACCTTTTTTTTTCTTACTAAATATAAATTTCTAATTCTTGCCCTACTATTAATATATCTTTATCCTCAGTGGATACTAACTTTATCCACAAGATATACCTTAAGCTCTCTTAAATTAACAAGCCCTCACAGTAGGGTAAATTACTATTAGTGAATCTTTGCTTATTCATGAGAACTATCGTAATTCCTCTTAAATAAAACGGACCCTGACAATAGGGTAAATTACTGCCAAACAGTGAATGCAAAATCACTTCACCGGAGACACCCTCTATGGGGTGGTGGAGTGCCCACTTAATTGTGGGATGTCTCCCCAGTGTATAATAGGATAGTACAGGATACAAACAGATGATCCTACCAACAGTCTTAATTTATTTTTAAATAGTATTTTTTTATAAAAGCATTTTATAAATTTATAAAATCAAAATATAATTATAACCTTGATCATAATACAAAAAAAGCAAATCATTAAGCATTATAAAAAATAAATTGTTAGAATTTACTTAATATGTTATTATTTTATAATTTATATTTAAGCATCCTATGTATTTTTAAAGCTATCCATTTTATTGGGCCGCACAATATGCCCTTTTATCTCTAATGAATGTTTTGTCTAACTAACTGAAAAATATAAAAGTACATTAATTTTAATATTTAACTAAATTAATATAACAATTTTTAAGGATCCTACTTTTTTAAAGCTTACCATTTTGTCGGATCCACCTCTATTATCCCTGCTGATTATTTTGTATAACGCACAAAAAAATATACATAGTACATTATTTTTATTATAAATAATTTAATATATGATTTTATATCTATTCGAAAAAATCAAATATTTTTTTATAATTTAAATAAATTTTATTTTAAGCATCCTATGTATTTTTAAATCTATCCATTTTGTCGGGCTGCAAAATATGCCCTTTTATCTCTGATGAATATTTTGTCTAGCTAACTGAAAAATATAAAAAGTACTTTTTTAATATTTAAGTAAATTAATACAATTTTTAAGGATCCTACTTTTTTAAAAGCTTACCATTTTGTCGGATCCAACATTGCTCTATTATCCCTGCTAAATATTTTGTGTAATGCTCAATTAAATATACATATTACATTATTTTTATTATATATAATTTTAAATAGAATTTTTTTCTATTCCAAAAAATCAATATATATTATTATTTTTATTCAATTAAACTAGTAGATAGCCCGTCAAAAATGACAGGGAATGAGATTTTTATTCATTTTTTACGATAGATGTCATTCCAGGTTCAAGCTCACAATATTTAGAAGCATCCAAGATCTTATAATTTTAAAAAAGTTTATCAAGCCGAGCTCAACCCTTAATAATTTGTAAGAGATATTCCCAAGTCAGGTGCAAACTAATATTAATTTTGAGGTTCCAAGCAAGGTTGCTAGGTCAAAATTTTTAAATTGTGGGAGAAATTTAGTATTTTGCGGTAGAAATACCAAAATTGAGTAGAAATATAAAATTGCTAAAAAAAAATTTTGGCGGGCCAATTGACTTAAATATCCGCCTCTTTTTATAATTAGTTTATATAAATGCAAAGTGGGTAAATATTTTTTAAAATAAAATAACATCTTGATTTATTAAAATATATTAATTTATAAAAAAAAACCAAAGATATTTTTTAAATATAAAAGAATGTAAACAAGATAAAATTAAACGAAAAATATATTATATGCGAATATCCCGCAAGACCGCAATTGGAAATCTACCGTGTGTGTGTATTACATTATAGGGATAGGCGCTTAATTATCACGTATCAAGTTTAAATACATAATAAAATAATATTGTACTCATTTCAATGATAACTATTTTATTTACTATAGTTCAATCATAATTATAATCCGTACAGGGGAGTGTATCTACATTCATTGCAAAACAAAAATATTCTCCATAAATAAGAAACAATACAGATTCAACTACAGTTGCTCCAATTGTAATTACTTATCTTGTAGTACAACATTCACAAGCTACTTATCATTACAATGTAGGCAGAATCTTTCCCCATAATATTTAACGACTCCAAGATAAATGAAAACTTTACTTGTAGAACAAAAATGAGCAAGGATATCATTAAGGTTTTATAACCTGAATCTAGGAGGTCAATTCTTGACGATTTGAAAGATGGGCATTGAAAAGGTTAGCAGGGATCAAGGCAGAAAATAAATGTTTTAGACGTATATTACGTGAATTTATTGATATTTAAATTAAAAAATATAATGATCACATATTCAAAAATAGTTTGCTATATATATTGACAATGTAATTTATCATAAATTGATCTTTTTTAAAAAGTTAAAAATAAATAATTGAATATTAGTTTGTTAAGTAAATTGATTTATAAAATATAAAATTTAATATTAGTTTATAAACAAATTGATTTAAAATAAAAAAAGTTGTTTTTAACAAAAAGAAAGAAACAATTTTTATTACATTTGAAATATTTAAGTTACGCCATAAATGACTTAAGGATAAAAAAAATAATTTTTAAAAGTTAATATTATTTAACAGGCATATATATGAAATTCTAACAGATGCATCTAATAAGGGAAATATTAAAATATATTTCAACAAAATTAAGGACGTTTCA